CAAGCAAATACTCTAATTGGAGGCACACGACATTGATACTCTAGTTGCCTATTTGGCAACCGCAGAGTTGGAGCATTTCATCCCCCGGGCTTAGGTAAATGTTGGCATAAGCCACAATCTTAAGTATGTCAGGAATTGGAGCGGAAGATTCCATTCTGACTTCTTAAGGGGGTTTGCTCTGCTGAGATGACAACATTGTAGTTATTGTCAGCAACTTTTACATTATAAAAAGAGACTAGCTTTATCGAAATAAATGATCTATGATAACCCAATATATGCAAATCATGATGCCAGACATCAGATTACATTTTAAGTATCTGTTTTAACCGTTATTAAATCAACTCCATCGTAAGCAAAAAAAGTGCAATATATTTTGTGACATGATATTACTGTAGCATAGTATAGTATAGTATAGTATAGTATAGTATAGTATAGTATAGTATAGTATAGTATAGTATAGTATAGTATAGTATAGTATAGTATAGTATAGTATAATACATGATAGTGCAGTGTAGTATAGCAATGTATTGAGTGAACAAAAATCCTATCAGCACCAACACACAAGACTATTGAAAAGTAATTATTTTACTGTCCCTTGACAGGCTTTCTACTTAATAGACCAAGACAGGGACGGATTCATCGGGAACGACGACTTGAAAGATATGTTTGCGTCACTAGGTAAGCGCAACTCTCGTTCCCATGCCTCAGTCTGACCACTCAACACGTACCTTACGTACCTTATATTGTCTTCTCGAAAACCTAAGAAAATTAAAAGCTCGAATTTCTCAGTAGAGTTAAGACCATTTCACGACCCCCCAGCAATTTGGGCGTCGGCCGGCTTAGCAACACATAGATACAACCTTTGACCCTGAATTTTCCCGATTTCTCCTATTGTTTGATAATTGCTCTGACCCTGCCCAGTGTGAAAACATTGCAAGAGGGGTGCCGGTGGACCAGGTGAAGTGATACCTGGGCTCTGTGGAGTGTGAAATGTTTGGCTGTCTGGAAACAGTGCTGGATGTGTATTATAATTGACAAAGGAATCCATATGTCTAGTGTTTCTAATTTGTGTGATTCTCAGATCTCAACATTACACACTGGTCGATTGTTCTGTCAAATGTGACATTTCATTGCAAATAGCCAGACAAGGCATAAAACCTATAACACTCAGAGATTTAAGTAAAGGAGTATATTTGAGTATATTTATCATAAACACCAGGGGTACTGTTGATCATCAAAGTCTGGTAACCCTCCATGTTTATTCTGGATTTGATGCCGTTTTGTTTGTTTTGATGAGCAACTTTCATTAGTAAAACCTTTCACACACTTTCTTTCGAATATTTTGGTTAGTTGTAGCAGCTCTATAGAACCCTTTTGCGTCGGGGAACAACAGACGATAAACTGGATAGTGAGTGCGCCAGTGTAATCAACTTGTTAAAAAGCTTGCGCCAACCAAATTATAGTTATACTTTTTATGTCATCGACTTGTTCCTTATGTTGTTGTAGAGTATGTTGGATCAAGAAATGCATTTTTGATAAAGTAGTCTTTTTCTAGTCTTACAATGTACTAGTACTTGGAACCCTGAAACAATCATTGTTCATTGCTGATAAACCAAGCCAAGCTGACTGTCTGGCACTAGCAGGTAAAGGTGTGGACAAGCCGTGAACTGCCTATTGTTCTCCTCAGGTAGTCTGGTCCCCAACAAGGAAGGTGCTATGTCAACAAGTTAATTGGCTGTATTGTCCACTTTTCCCAACAAAGTGATCAGATTTCAGTTCATAAGAAGCCAGAAGTTCAATTTTTGTGATCTTATTTTTGCCCTAAAAGCGCATCCACACACAACATTCTTTTGAGTTACTGAACACATGTATAGAAAGTAGACAAGTTGTTCTACAACACTGTGTCGGGCCCAGAGTGCACAACATTTCCAACACTTTGCTGACCCTGTATGAATATTGCAAGTATGTGTTTTTTGCCAAAAATCTGAACATATTAGATAATATCTCTGTTGTAATAATAATAATACACCTGGGATCGATGGGATGTTATAGAGTTTTTACTGACGAATACATACATACAAAATTTGTTTGAAAAAAAGTTTGTCTAGGGGTCCCGCCGGGCACTTGAAGTTTATAAATTTAGATGTGCTTATTATATCAATATCATAATATTAGCAAGTTATTCACAAAATTTATGTAGGCAGAGAGTTTGCCTTTGACCTGGTGCTTTAGTAGTTGTCGGAAATGTCAGAAAATAACCACCCAATAAGTGTACATTACACTTGAAAGTTGGGCTGTCAGTTAATGAGGCAGGGAGGCTCAGGGAGGGGGACAATGGTCTTAACTCTATTGAGTTTGACAATGATCTTAGTATACAACATTACTTACTATATATATTGATCCTTGATAAAATGATGTTTTCATGACACCATCTGTACTGTTGTTATTATGAGGTTGATATATGAATGTGGGTCATGTCTACAATGTGATAGTGAAATCACACGATATTTTACACGAGAATCAGGATCATTTCCACGCATAGAACTGAAGTTTTTTATGTTGCCACAGGCAAGCAGCCTAACGACAAGTTGGTGGACAGTATGATCAAGGAGTCACCAGCCCAGATGAACTTCACCGCCTTTCTGTCTCTTTTCGCCAACAAACTGGGAGGTAAGGACCGGTCCGGAATAGTTTTGGTATGTAGATGTAGCTAAAACAGGTGAATGGCAAATGAACGATTTGAAAGTATTCCAACCTCTTGTAATCCCACTTTAAATATAATTAAAAGTAGTGTTTCTGTCTGAATGATCTGGGCAGATTTTTTTCAAAACGTGACAATTTTTTTTTTCATATCTCCTTTTCACCAGGTACGGATCCAGAAGACAACATCAACAAAGCATTCGAGTTCTTCGACCCAAACAAGACGGGAAAAATCAAGAAGGCAGTGTAAGTAATAATCTCAGAAGTTGTGTAAGACTTCTTTGTATCGTCAAATAAATCACATGTCTAGCTGTTGGGCATGATATGTCATAGACGGTGGTACAGTGTTATAAACAAATATGACGAGCCTGAGAATCAAAGATGGCGCTTTATGTTCGTTTCATGTTGTTGGACTTTTGCATTTATCGTTTTTGGTTAACTGTTACAGCCTGGTAGAACTGCTGACAAAGGCGCCGTACGGCGACAAGCTGAACGCTGAAGAGGTAAGCCGCCATTTTGTCTCCTCTGTTCCAAAGGAAAATGGGGGGGGGGGGGGGAGTGGATAAAAGTCATTAAAGTTTCTGTTGCCAGCAACTGCGCTGCTATAACTGCTGCTATATAGTCATTTCATCTGTACATTTATCCGCGTCGCACGTTGTGAGATAGAATAGTGCCATATTATGCTTGTTGTTACATTGCTGTAGATGCCATACAATTGTTGTGCAATAAAGTTTATTGTAAATCATTTTTGTCTGTAAAGTACTGGTAAACACCACCGATGATTTTTTTTCTGTGCCCGCTCACCAGTTGAGTGCCATGATGGAGATTGCGAACGTCGATCACAAGGGGATGTTCCACTACCGCGACTTCACTGCAGTCCTCAAGGGCAAGGAGGTAGAAGACTAAAGAAAGGGAGAACCTGCAGAAGCGAGGCTACTTCAAGGGGTTTCGTGGATACTGCTTTGGTCCAAAATCAAAGGACGTTGAAGTGCCAAGTGTAACGCCGACGTCAGAAGCTACGACGAAGACCGATCAACGACAGGCGTCGAGTATTCCTAAAACCCCTTATGCAGCCTCATGTGTAATAAGAAGCTTTGTCGTAGTTCTACATGAAACTGTAAAAATGACATCAAGAATGGTCCCCATGTTACTATTTGCCCCCCCCCCCCCATTCGACTATGTGAAAACAAAGCAATGGCTTGTATGGT